AATGTTATTCGACTTGTTCAAAACAGATGCTGTCTGACGCCATTTTCTCACTAATCATTGCATGGCACTCTTTGCTGGCACTTTGACACCATTAGCTTGTCTGGGCACACCTAAAAAGTTCCCTCTGTACACACAGAAAAATTGAATGAAAAAGGATTTACAGGTTACTGTAGGTTACTCTGAACCTTCTTTATTTATACTAGATGGCAGCACAACACAAACCAGTCCATGTACTTTAGCCACATTCAATTTTAAAGACCCTAATTTTTCAAAGAAATCTCCCAGGTTTTTTTTAGGATATAAAAGGAATCGTTTGAAAAAAATTTCTATGTTATTTTTTTGACTGTATGCTAATCTCTTTTGTCTATATTAGTTTTAAAGTTTTACCTTGAAATCTTGCCTAAAATTGAACATCAGGTGTGCCCAATATGTGATCACTGAAACACTAGGACCAGACCAACAACTATATCTTTGTTTCACAGTAGCTCTCTGATGAGCTCATTTGCAATAGAAAGGTGGGTCCACATCTGTGTTTCATTTCCTGTTTTTCTTTTTTATCTTTTTTTTTTTGGGGGGGGGGAAGTTTGGTTATCAACTAAGGAATTGTTGGGGTGACTTTCTAAAGGTCATGGATAATTTTATCAGTTAGCTGTTTGGTTTTTCACTAGGGCAGTTCTCTTTCACTCAAAGAAGTTTTGTTAGCGCTACGGTTTGATAGTTTTGAGTTTTAGATGTTTATTTAATTTTACTTTATAGTTTATACTTCTACGAAAAGTACCACTATGGAAAAAAAATAGACAAAAGTGTAAATATGAAATGTAAATATCATATACCCAAGTTGCTTCCCCCCCATTTATACGCTTGTAATCATCATATAACCAAGAAGAGCTTTCTTTTTTGGGAAGGATAGCGGGCCTTCCCCATGGGCCACCCTGGGTAATGCTATATCTGCTACGGTATTCAGAACCTAGTGTTTTTTCTTTTAATCGTACGCAAAATCTTTTACTCTATTATGCGCTTCCCAGCAATGCTCGCTTCAGCACTCTTTTCAAAGCTCTATTTATTCAGCACACCCACAGAATTAAAATGGTGTTATCTTTACAAAATTTTACCTGTATACTCTCCTCTGAGCCTAATTAGACTGCCTACTTTTTTTTTTTTTTTTTAAATTTCAAATTTAAAAGATAGCGTGTTGGAAAGGGTTAAACTTGCAGCTGACCACACTATTTCCACTATATTATGTATTTGTTGTAAACACAAATTTACACAACGAATGCTTTCTGCTTCACTGTGAGCACCATCTTCACTGCTCAACTCACACTGACCAGCCCACACTAAGCTATGAACCGGTTTGGATAATTTGGTGTGCACATCAAATAGTGTGGTTATATGCATACATTCACAAACAATCATATCCGCTCCTCCGAGCTACTTTCATTTGCTTTCCTTTGCTGTGCTTCTTTGTAACCTGTAACTCTATTCTCCGTGCTACTTTCATTTCCCCCATTCTGTATTATACAGAATATAGCTTTTAGTGCAAAAATTTTAGCTCAAAAGTAACAAAAGGTAGAATAATTATATACCTTTATTTCATATGTATATAATAAATAATAAAGTATAAGAACTATAATATATAATAGTATAATTGTATAATAAGTACTTAAGTATTCCCCACCCTCTTCATACACAAGGTTCTGAAACTATAAAAAATATTCATGAATTTTTTGCTTCCTTAAGGCATTCAGAAAACAGGCTCGCCTAAATTTCAAAATGCATTTGCCCATGTAATGGGTGCTTTCATCTTACAAACAAAAACAACGTCTTGCAATCTACCTGTGAAAGTCACACCAAACCTTTCCATTCACTAACACTGTTCATGTAACACTTTAAAAGTAATGTAGCAATAACACGAGGGCTTTGCAAGTGACATAAATGATAGTGGCACAAGCTCAGTTTTGTTGGTGATAACTTGCAAGCTGTAGCAGATAGCATAGCAATAATTAATAATTCCAGAGTAGCATCTAGCCCTAGCATTGCTAATGCTTCATGCATGTGCAATGACAAGCTTCTTTGGTGTTATTGGCTGGTGTCCGCTGTACAGAAGTGACAATGTATCATGAGATTAGCAACTTAAGACATGTTGTACTTGCACTAAATTTTGTCACATTGCGAAAGTTAACTCTGAAGTATCAGTTTATCCATTTCTTATATTTAGCGTAATTAGTAGGATTAGATTATTATAAAATTTGGAAACATAGAAGCTGTGTAGAAAAATGGATACATGCTTTCAGTTATTGTACAGTAAAATGCACTTCAATGCTCAGTCCCATTCAAATACATTTCCAAGCATGCCAAAAACATCGGCTCCAGTCCAAAGAGTATTCTCAATAATGAACATTATATGGTACGCAGAAAGAGGTAAAATGGCTAAACCAAAAGTAAAAGCTTTAGTAAGCTGCAAAATTAATAGTGAACAAAATTGCAGTGCATTTTTTGATGCCATTAAAATTAACAAGGACTTAAAGAAAATTAACACTAGTGAAAAATATTAATAACACTAATGATAAATACTACTGAATGAGGCATGCTGAATCATTCGAAATTTATTTTAACACATTGCTGATTTTTGTTAACAATTTCTTTACCATAATAGTAGCAGTTTTTCAATCATGATAGTAGCTTTCTCGAGTTTCATTTTCTGTTGTATTTTTCCACAATTGCCCCAGTTTGAGCAGAAAATATTATGGTATGCCTAATCAGAGTTCTTAGACAACGAATAAAATGCTATAAAGTGTATATCTTTTGGATTACTACTAAGATAATGTAATCAAGAATAACAAGAAGAAGGAACAAGGATGTTAGTTTGCTGAATGCCTATTAAAAGATGATCTTTTATTATGATAACTGTAAATATGAAATAAAAAATATTTGTCAAATGAGGTTAAATTAATAGATTATGTCAAAGCACTCAAGAGTTATTTGCTTAGGATGAGACATGCCTTTGTAGAAAGCATGAATGTAAAAAGGAATCCTTTTTTCCAATCATTAAATCAAACATCTGCCACAAACTGTTATATTTTAATGACTTAAAGATACTGTATCTAGTGAAGTATTTTAGCAAATTTTAACAAAATACAGCTGTCCTCGTTCACTCTAGGGTAGAATTGGGTGCCCCTTCGATTGGCGACATTTTTAAAAATTTTGGCGATGAAACCTCACTTCTGGTTACCACGATAGTTTTAACTCTGTTTTAGCTTCCCGATTTTGTTTAAATGAAAATAGATTGATGTGCACATGGACATATTTAAGGCAGTGCACAATGCCTAGTTTGTGCAATTTCAGGATGTTTTTTTAAGTAAAAACAGATTGATGTGTACATGGACACAGATCTTGTGCAATTCTTTGACTTCTTATTTTGGTTTTGGTAAAATCCTAGTATACGGTGCAGCCTTGGCGCAACTTTGAAAATTATCGCCAACACCAAAAATGATCCAAAGAACATCTATATATATACTATACACTATATACTATGTGTGTATATACATAGTATATATACTATATACATAGTATACACTATGTTTAACTATATATTTTCTTGGAATGACCCGTTAACTACTCATCGTATATGTCCTGTTTTTACTGCTTATCATAAAGTCGCCAAAAGTAGCCGTGCCAAAGAGGCCGCGATCTTCCTGGCGCCGATCTTGGCGTCAAAAAGGAATCGCCAATAAACAGGAGCACCCAATTGTAAACTTTTACCGTCATCGTTATTACAAAAACTGAAAATTCGAGACTTTTCCAAAACACATTTCTTATGCATTTCTTGGTTTAATCCTAGTATCCGGTGCACGGGATTTGGCTAACGTTCTTTGGGTCCTTTTTGGTAAAATCCGGTTAATCTTCGGATTATGGTAACTTGGCGATTTTTTGGCGACCAACCCTGCTACAGCAACCTGCTAGTTTTATTTTGGACGCCATTTTGTTTTCACAAAGTAAAGGCATTTTTTTTTTTACTCAACAATTTTTCCAACAATCTGCTAGCCTAATTACGCGTATACTAGAACTTTTATGAAACAAAAATGCTTAATCATGACGAAGATTAGGTAGAAAGTGCAGAATCGCAAACTGCTTGCCGCGTTTTTAAGAATTCCACGTACACGGTATACATGTACACATCGACCTATTTTCACTTAAAAAAAATTCCAGAATTGCACAAAAACGGCATTGCACACACTCTTGACTTTATCCATGTACACTGCTAAAGTACTAGCTAATAATCTTTATTGCCTTACCAAAATGTCGCCAAACTACCTGTTACCATCCATTAGCCTAAAATCCTAGTATACGGTGCAGCCTTGGCACGATTTTGAAAATTATCGCCAACACCAAAAATGACCCAAAGAACGTCTATGTATATACTATACATTATATGCTTTCACTATATACATAGTATATAATAAGTATAACTATACATGTTCATTGAATGACCCATTTACTACTTCATCATATATGTCCCGTTTTTACTGCTCATCATAAAAGTATAACTATACATAATAAGTATAACTATACATGTTCATTGAATGACCCGTTTACTACTCATCATATATGTCCCGTTTTTACTGCTCATCATAAAAGTAGCCAAATCCCGAGTGAACCGGATACTAGGATTAAACCCATTTCTTAATAATAATTCTGACATCCAAAATTTAAGGAGTGAAAATATACATAATGTTATAAAAGATATGATCTGCCCCAAATAAGCAAATTATATTCTGCTTAAAATCTCCTTTTAACCTACCCTAATCAGCATTTACATTTAACATAAGAAAAGGAAGTAAAAATGCAATAACAAATATGAATTTTCCTGTATTAATGATGTATTTCCTGAGCAAGTTTAAAATATAGTATACACTACCGTTAAAGATAACTCAATAAACTTAAATTTATTACCAAACTTTACAAATATCTATAATTTGGAATTAAATTTATATTTTAATCACCTCTCTTAATAGGGAATGCAGATTAATAAGTTCGGCTTCAATAACATCTCGTCTACACATCAGCGATGCTAAATTAGAACGAACGTTGTCGGGATTATCCATCATTAGCTAGTAGAGAGGCTATTATAGACAAAAAGATCTATTAATCAAATTTTAATTATTAAAAATGAAACATATTACGTTAATTCACTTTTGACAGCTCTCTAGATGAAAACTACTTCTACTTCCACTGTCATTTTTCACTCCTCTAATCAAAATACTTAAATATAACTATGAAGTAATATTAAATGCAAAATTTATTTTACATTTGAATTAAAATATATTTTTGATGATAAATTTAAATTTTCACTACGTAATTTTTTTTTTTTTTTTTTTTTAAGATCAACATTTTTATGTTTACGAAGCGAAAGAAAACAATTTCAAATTTTATATAGTTAAACATATAATTACTATTATTGGTTTAAAAATGTATTTAAAGTCAAAATGTGTCTTCGCAATTACGAATTGCAAAATATTCCGCATAAATTCATATTTATTTTTCACTGTTTAGTGAATCTTAACTACAACCGCCCTTTCTATTTGCTTTACACATGGTGGCAGTGGATTGTTAAGTTCAGTGAAAATTATTTATAAATTTCAGTGTTAAAATTGTAAATTTTTGGTTCCACGTTTGCGGTTGCTTGTTTATTAATAATTATATTTGATTAATGAGTCAGAAAATCGAGAAACCGACACTTTCGGGTCAGCGAATAAAGACCCGCAAAAGGGACGAGAAGGAAAAGTATGACCCAGCCAGTTTCAGAGACGCAATATTACAAGGTCTTAGTGAAACAGGCTCCGACTTGGAACAAGTGTCTAAATTTTTAGACACAGCTGGTTCAAAGTTGGATTATCGCCGTTATGGTGAAGCTCTTTTTGATATCTTATTGGCTGGAGGTATTTTGGCTCCTGGTGGTACACTTGCTCCTGATCTCGATCCATCAAAAACGTCAAGAACTGACATATGCATTTTTGAAGCAGAGGGAGATTTGGAAACTCTAAAGAATTATGCCCAAGTTATAACTAAACTGATCCGACGGTATAAATATTTGGAGAAGACCTTAGAAGAAGAGTTCAAGAAGGTGTTTATGTTCCTGAAAGGATTTACACCTGAACAACGCTCGAAACTTGCAAAAGTTACAGCTATCTTACTTGCTGGAGGCCAAATTACGCCAGGCGTGCTTATTAAAGTTCTTCAGGATCATTTGGTAAAAGATGGTATTGCACTTGATTTTATTATAGAAGTTTTTAAAACTTGGCTTGGGGAAAAAGATAGCACAGCTGTGTGGGCATCCTTAAGAAAGGCAGGCTTGGATTCTCGTCTTCTGGACTTTCTTCCAACAAGCAAACGATCAATTGAATATCTAAGCGCAACTTTTAAATCTCATGGTTTGAATCAATTATTAGATTACTTAAAAGCTCAAGAAAATAAGAATGTTAGGAAGGAGCTTCAGCAACAAGTTGGTGAGCTTTTGAAAGAAAATGTGCCTGTTGATGACATCATAGCTGTTGTGAAGGAGCAGGTGAAGAAAAATGCACTACCTGAACAAGAAGTTCCTGTCCTCTTGTGGACTACCTTGATGACTGTTGTTGATTGGAACAAGCGTCAAGAATTGGTGCAAGAACAAGCCATCAAACATTTGCGTCAGTACACTACACTTCTTGCTGCCTTTACTTCCAGTACAAGAGCTGAGATCGCCCTTCTGATGAAAATTCAAGAGTATTGCTATGATAATATGGCATTTTTGAAAGTTTTTGAGAAAATTGTTTTATTGTTTTACCAGCGTGATGTTTTGAGTGAGGACTCAATCCTTAAGTGGTACAAAGAATCACATTCTTCAAAAGGTAAAAGCATTTTTCTGGAGCAAATGCGTAAATTTGTGGAATGGTTACAGAATGCAGAAGAAGAATCTGAGGAAGAAGATTAATGTAAATTGCATTAATATTTGAATTTTTTCAATTATTTTTCATTTAAAAGATTTTGACAAATGAATGACTTGCCTATATTGGTGCTACTCCTTTTTTATTAAAGGTGTTGGCCTTTTATGAAAACTGAGGTGCACAATGTAGAATTATTTTTATACTAAAATAGGTATCACCGTTGTACTGGTTATTTGATGGTTTTTGTGTTTGTAAGATTTCCATAGAGAATGAATTGAAGTATAATAATTCTAATTAAATTTATACTCATTGTAAAAAATAAAATCTGATGCTTAATCATTTTAACTTATTTTCTATTTCATTTTATTTCAGAGTTTTTTTATTAATTATGCAAAGCATATCAGTAATCATTTGAAAGACATTCGTATAAAACCTATGGATTTCTTTTGTACTATGGAATATGGCGGGCACAGAGAAATATTTAGTTATTACAGTTGTGACCAAAGTCTTTTATATATTTATTGATTTAATACTCTTAAATGGAATTACTGGTTACAATGTAATATGTGTCATGAAGATGAAATAAAACTTTTAATTTGTATGTTAATATATCTGGTTCCCTTTTATAATATATGTACTATATATATAGCAATAAGTTAATGGGGTAATGTTATGGGAATTGTTTTTTGTGCTGTTTATGTTCCAGGAGACCACCTATAAATTGACATTTAGGTGTACATTTCATAATAATTGATATTTTGGCAATGACTGAATAAAATGCTGCAGTTCATGATAGAGCTGAACATAAATATTTATTACTGTATGGTGTCGTTTCTCTGTAGGAAAAATGCTAACTTACAAAAGTCTGTTCTATAAGAGAATTTTTTTTTTTTTTTTTATAAACGATAGGAAATATAAATTAACATGACTAGATTTTTAACAGATTAAAAGAAAACAAACCAAAATTTTGTATTTCATTTGATTATCTGTAACCAACTTGCTCAGGTGTATATTTCAGTATTAACTATTGACTAAGAAAATGGTATTCAAAATGCTACAAGTCTTTGTGATAATAAAATGAATTTTTAAGCAATGCTTATGTTAATGGATGGCTGGAAGCTAAGGGCTACTGAGTTTCAGAGGATGCCAATTGAGTTATTTTCACAAGTGACATTTGAATAAAGTATATTTTATTTTGAATGATTAATATGTTTAGATTATACAGGACACTGTACTAATCGTTGAAGACCTGCATCCAAAACTGAAACTTAATTCTTCCTTTGTTTTTTTTCTGACTTCATAGAACAGCCTAAGAGCATCTTCATGAAGATGCTGGTACCTCTATACAAGCTTGTAACTGTTCAAATTAAAATCATCTTTGTAAGCAATTATCTAAATTTCATGACTGACAAATAATTTACATGAAGGATTCAGCATCTTTGTGGTAGGATACCGATATGAATAATGAACAGCTCAATATCTCAAAAGTCCGAAGCGAGAAAATGGCTTTTCTAAATAGCAACTATTACTGTAGACGACCATACTGTTAGCAAGTTTTTAACTGAATGATTCAAAATGCTAGAAACAAAGATTAGTATTTTAATTTTATAAAGACATTTTGTTTACTAACTGTTATTTTAATTATGTAAACATACTGTAAATTACAGTATACACTTTAGTATTGTATTTTAACCGAGTACAGATTCAAAACTCATAATATGATTGCATTTTAGTCAAAATGGACATAATCATTACTCTTAATGCAGATAGTGTTTTTGATATGCATTTTTAGAATGTGTGCTTTGGCATAGGAATACTGTAATTTGCTGAAAAGTGTACAAACTAGTATATTTTTTAAAAATTTATTTCATTATCTAAAGCCAAATATTTATTAAATTGCTTAATAATTTGAAGGATATTTTGATTTTTTTTTTTTATTATTATAATAGATTCAGGTTATACATGTTTTTTTTTTTTTTTTTTTTTCTTTCCATAATAAATCATTTAAACTATATTTATTATTTCAACTATATGCTAGCATAGTTAGGCTGTATACATGATATAATGTTGCATAGCCGTGAATTAACGAATTGATTATTTTTGATAGTATAAAAAATTTATGGTTGAATGGAAATTTACTAAAATCAATATTTTTATGTTATAAAATTTTGTTTAAGGAGCAAATTATAATTCTACTGTAGTTTTTTTTTAAACCACTGGTTATATCTTAATTTTGTTTAATTTTCAATTTGATTACATCATCACAAAGCAGGGTTTAGTTTCTTTTGGAAGAATTATATTTCCAGGAGAGTGGGAAAAACCAGTGGAAATTAACAAGGATGTATATCCATAGAGCTGCTAGAGAAGATAAATTTACTAACACCAGCTTAATTGTTTGAACTATTTTATGTATTATTTCTACAATGAATTGCAACATAATTAAAAATAGCATAAAAAGTCGAATGAAAAATGTGATAGAATTCTTATTGGTTCACAATATGTTACACTATGTTGATGATGTAGATTTAGTTTTTTAATAGTTAATTTTGTTTCTTGCTGTTTTTGAATAAATGTATTGATTTCTATTTTTATTGCTGTTAGGAACTTAAATTTAATTTTAATATCCATTCAAATTTGTAGATGTAAATCTCGGAGCATGTACAAAAACAGCTACAAATATTACCAAAGAGTTACTGTAGGTACTTCAGACGAAGTTAAATAAATAAATATAGGGAAAACATTTAAATTGATTAGTAATGGAATAGTGTTATATAAATAAAATATAATGTATTATTAAATAACTAATTATTCAGTTTCTTCATATTAATTTTCTTCATTATGGAAGAAACTTGCTAAATCTGCTGAGAGTATGCCATATCTAAAGTTTTACTTTACTCTGATACTATTTGCATAAAATATTATATGATTAAAAGACTGTGTCATTTCTGAAATTTCATATTAACTGTGTAATGGTAGTTGAGATTAAAGCTCAGCAGCACTTGAGCAGATTATCTCCTCTTTTGAATTTATCCATTCATTACTGAAATTTCAAAATAGATTATTGCATATGATAGCAAAAAATTCTCATTTTTGTTACATTGTTTTTATGATGATGTAGATTCAATTTTGTAATTTAATTTTTTTTTTTAAATTTCAGTTTTGTTTTTTGTTTTTATAAATAATTTTGCTTGATATAGGAAATTGGGATCCATCTAAATATAGTGTTTGGTTGTAAATAAACTGTTTTGGGATCTCTTTAAATATACAGATGTGAATGATGTCATAGCGAATTCATACATATATTGGGTCTGGGGAAAATTTTTGGTGTAAAATTCAATGTGTTTAATTATAGTGTGAAATAGAATTTGTTTAAACCAAATATGCTCCATTATTATTGATAATGTTTCACCATCTTCCGGGTAGATCCATGATGCCATTGGTGAAGAACTTCTGTGGTTTCCACAGGGCTCTTTTGAAACCAACCTAATTCCATTGAGAGAATTCTGCAGATACAGTAACAAGTGATAGTCTGATCCTGCTCTGTCTGGACTATACAACGGATGCATTGTTACTTCCCAACCAAGCTCGTGCAGTTTTTGATGAGTCATCAAAGAAATGTGTGTTCAGGCATTGTCAATAGAAGACAACAGCTTTCCTATTATTTAATTTAGGCCATTTTCTTTCAGTTGCCTGGCATAATCTCTCTAGTTGTTCACAGTAGATTGAGAATTATTCGTCTGACCATCTGGAAGTAGCTCATGCATTTTGTAGTTAGGTTTATGTAAGAGTTTCAAAACAGTTTTGTGGTTTATCTCCAGCTCCATAACAACATTGACACTACTCATGTGCTTATTTTACTGGACATTTGCAAGAATTTCATCAGCGTTTTCAGTGATTGGATGACTAGAGCGTGACTAATCTTATATGTCAAAATTACTAGGACAAAAGGGAGCAGAGCGTTTCCGCGCACAAGGTTTTGTAACAGTACCTTCACCATACAGCACAAATTTTTCAGAAGCCTATGCAAAGTTCTGGCCTTTGTCATAATAATATTGTAAAATATAGCACAATTTTTCCTTACTTTTCTCCATTGTCAAACGTACACAACTTTCCTCTCACTGCACTGCATTCAGTGTTTATACACTGAATAAATATATACAGCAATGCTCGAAGAATCGCATTTCTCTAATGTGCATTTAGTGGTGTCGCTGCGATCTGTGTTTCCTGAGTTATTTACCACTGATGCCATCTATCACGAAAAATGCTACAAACTTTTTCTGAGACCGAATAATTATCAAAAAAGGGGAGGGTTGGAAGCATACAACTGAGGCATCTTAAATTATATAGAAAATGAAAATTTTAAATTAATACAGTCAAAAGTCGTTAATCCGGACTCGGCAGGACTTCGGCGATTCCAGATTATTAATTTTTCCGGATTATAGATCATCAGTTTAAACCTGGTAAGGTGGCATGCAGAAATTATAAAATTAAAAATATGAAACCGTAATTTATGAAATGAAGAGCAATTATGATCTAAAGGGTATCAAAATGTATAAAAAAAAAGCTTAATATTTATTTGTTTACTTTATTAAACATTTCCTTCAATGTAAGTTGTTTAAGTTGCTTCGTTTTTTGTGTGATAATACTTTCTCTTTAATTCTATAAACAGACATAATTTCTTGTTCAGTTACAAAGTTCTGCTGTTCAAGTCCTATAATTGCTGTGTCGAGAATACCGACTAATTCGTCAGTCGAAATTTTTTTGTTTTCAATAACCTCTGTGTCACTTTCTTCGCTATCGGAAGCGAATTGTAATGACGAGGAATTTGATTTAAATCATATCAAAGACGGAGTACATTGAGATGAAATACTACATTTAGTATGGAATTATAAGCCAAATAAAATAAAAACATCTGCCCTGAAGATAAGGATAGTGCGGACAGATCAAATTCCAATTCATTGCATGCCGCAGCATCTCCCCCCCACACCGCAGAGCAGCGTGAAATTAATAAACAGACTTTGGAATGGTTAGATAAACAAAGGATATGCCTTTATCCATTTTTTGCAGCAATTCCACTTTTTGTTTAATGGACACTCGAAACATACTTTCGCTTTGTAGATCCTTTACATATTAGTAAATATATATCAGAAATTCTATTTGACATAATCGAAAGTTCAAGCTTACTTTTATAAAACTGCTCTAACAGTCTGCAAAAAATAAGCCGGATCCAATTGGAAGATTAAGGAACAACGCAATCTGCAACATTAACTGAATTAGATAATTTTAGCTTAGCTTATACCATCTGTTATACATTAAACGTGCATGCGCACATGCATATTCGCAGCCGTAAAGGTCTTACGTGCATGTGAACGCGATGCATGCTCAGAAAGTTTGTAGCTTTGAGGTCTGGACTATGGGTGTCCGAATTAACGACTTTTGACTGTAATATGTGAATAAAATAATATAAATAAGAAATACGTTTAAAAATTAGTTTCTTCCACCCATTTTTCTTTCAATTTTCTCTTCTAAGAAAACTTCCCAACACTGTTACAAAGTTGCTCATATTATGAAAACAATTTGATTGCCTTTTCTTTTAACATTTTACCCAT